GGATTCCTATTAGGATTAGGATTAGGATTCCTTTTAGGATTAGGATTCCTATGAGGATTAGGATTACGATTCCTATTAGGATTAACGTTGTTAGGGTTAGGATTCATTTTAGGATTAGGATTAGGATTAACATTAAGATTCCTATTAGGATTAGGACTAGGATTAGGATTCCTATTAGGAATAGGATTAGGATTAGGATTAGGATTAGAATTAGGGATAGGATTAGGATTATGATTAGGATTACTATTAGGATTAGGATTCCTATTAGGATTAGGATTAGGATTCCTATTAGGATTAGCATTAGGGTTAGGATTCCTGTTAGGATTAGAATTAGGATTATCATTAAGATTCCTATTAGGATTAGGATTAAGATTAGGATTCCTATTAGCATTAGGATTAGGGTTAGGATTACAATTCCTATTAGGATTAGGATTAGGATTAGGATTCCTATTAAGATTAGGATTAGGATTCCTATTAGGATTAGGATTATGATTCCTATTAGAATTAGGATTAAGATTAGGATTCCTATTACGATTAGGATTAGGATTAGGATTAGAATTAGGATTAGGATTAGGATTAGGATTAGGATTACGATTAAGATTAGGATTATAATTAGGATTAGGATTAGGTTTCCTATTAGGATTAGGATTAGGATTATGATTAGAATTAGGATTAGAATTAGGATTAGGATTATGATTAGGATTAGGATTATGATAGGAATTGTAGTCTTAATCCTAATAGGAATCCTAATCATAATCCTAATCCCAATAGACATCCTAATCCTAATCCTAATAGGAATCCTAATCCTAATCCTAATAGGAATCTTAATTCTAATCCTAATAGGATTCCTAATCCTAATCCTAATAGGAATCCAAATTCTAATCCTAATCCTAATAGGAATCCTAATCCTAATTCTAATAGGAATCTAAATCCTAAACCTAATAGGAATCCTATTCCTAATCCTAATCCTAATAGGAATCATAATCCTAATCATAATCCTAATAGGAATCCTAATCCTAATCCTAATCCTAATAGGAATCCTATTCCTAATGCTAATCCTAACAGGAATCCTAATCCTAATCCTAATCCTAATAGGAATCCTATTCCTAATCCTAATAGGAATCCTAATCCTAATCCTAATCCTAATAGGAATCCTAATCCTAATCCTCATCTTAATCCTAATAGGAATCCTAATCCTAATCCTAATAGGAATCTTAACCCTAATCTTAATCCTAATAGGAATCCTAATCCTAATCCTAATAGGAATCCTAATCCTAATCCTAATCCTAATAGGAATCCTAATCCTAATCCTAATCCTAATAGGAATCCTAATCCCAATACTAATCCTAGTCCTATTCCTAATCCTAATCCTAATAGGAATCCTAATCCTAATCCTAATAGGAATCCTAATCCTAATCCTAATAAGAATCCTAACCCTAATCTTAATCTCCTAACCCCAATCCTAATAGGAATACTAATCCTAATCTTAATCTTAATCCTAATCAAATTAGGAATCAATATCCTAATCCAAATCCTAATAGGAACCTTAATCCTAATCCTAATCCCAACAGGAGTCGTAACCCTAATCCTAATCGTAATAGGAATCCTAATCCTAATCCTAATAGGAATCCTAATCCTAGTTCTAATCCTAATAGCAATCCTAATCTTAATCCTAATAGGAATCCTCATCCTAATGCTAATAGAAATCCTAATCCTATTCCTAATAGGAATGCTAATCCTAATCCTAATCCTAATAGGAATCCTAACCCTAATCCTAATCCTAATAGGAATCGTAACCCTAATCCTAATCCTAATCCTAATAACAATCATAATCTTAATCGTAATAGGAATCCTAATCATAATCCTAATCCTAATCCTAATCCTAATAGGAATCCTAACCCTAATCCTAATCCTAATCCTAATAGGAATCCTAATCCTAATCCTAATAGGAATCCTAATCCTAATCCTATTCCTAGTCCTAATAGGAATCCTAATCGTAATCCTAATCCTAATAGGAATCCTAATCCTTATTCTAATCCTAATCCTAATCCTAATCCTAATAGGAATCCTAATCTTAATCCTAATCCTAAAAGGAATCCTAATCCTAATCCTAATAGGAATCTTAATCTAAATCTTAATCCTAATAGGAATCCTAACCCTAATAGGAATCCTAATCCTAATCCTAATCCTAATCCTAATCCTAATCCTAATAGGAATCCTAATCTTAATCCTAATCGTAATAGGATTCCTAATCCTAATTCGTAATCCTAATCCTAATAGGAAACCTAATCCTAATCCTAATAGGAATCCTAATCCTAATCCTAATCTTAATAAGAATCCTAATCCTAATCCTAATCCTAATCCTGGTCCTAATCTTAATCCTAATAGGAATTCTAATCCTAATCCTAATAGGAATCCTAATCCTAATCCTAATCCTAATCCTAATAAGAATCATAACCCTAATCTTAACCCTAATAGGAATCCTAACCCTAATCCTAATAGGAATTCTAATCCTAATCCTAATTCTAATCATAATCCTAATCCTAATAGAAATCCTTATCCTAATCCTAATTCTAATAGGAACCTTAATCCTAATCCTAATCCTAAAAGGAATCGGAACCCTAATCCTAATCCTAATAGGAATCCTAATCCTAATCTAAATAGGAATCCTAATCCTAATCCTAATCCTAGTAGGAATCCTAATCCTAATCTAATCCTGATAGGAATCCTAATCCTAATCTTTTTTTTTGGTCCCGGAACAAACCACGCGTGGTGGAGGAAGTGCCGGGGAACACTTCCTAATTTTATTAGTAATTATTTAGAAATACTTGAAAGGTACAAGGAAATAAAAGGTACAAGTGGGTAATGAGAAAGTAGAGATTAGAGAGACATTAGCAATTAAAGTTCCGTGTCGGAATTCCCACAAAGGATAATATAGTCGTGTTATATTTGATGGGGAACCTTATTGCATTCCGCAGGTATGGTTGGTAAGTTTTGGCGTTCAGGCGGGATGTTTTGTATCTATTAAGCGCCTCAGCCAATTGTTGTGGTGATTCAAGCCTCGCGTCAACCAGTTATACGAAGTAGTCAGTTTCATATCGGGGTTGCTTGGATTGACTTCTTGTGATCATGGGATGAAAACTGTATCCCACCTCATAATATAATTGTCTCTCCTCTTGAGGTGTGTTTGATTTATATGCATTGCTCTTAATTAGGATTAAGAATCCTAATCCTAATCCTAATAGGAATCTTAATCCTAATCCTAATAGGAATCCTAATCCTAATCCTAATAGAAATCCTAATCCTAATCATAATAGGAATCATAATTCTAATCCTCATAGGAATCCTAATCCTAATCCTAATAGGAATCTTAATCTTAATCCTAATAGGAATCCTAATCCTAATCCTAATCCTAATAGGAATCCTAATCCTTATCTTAATCCTAATAGGAATCCTAATCCTAATCCTAATAGGAATCCTAATAGCATTAGGAATAGGATTCCTATTAGGATTAGGATTCCTATTGAGATTAGGATTAGGATTAGGATTAGGATTAGGATTCCTATTAGGATTAGGATTCCAATTAGGATTAGGATTAGGATTCCTATTAGGATTAGGATTAGGATTACGAAAGCTATTAGCATTAGGATTAGTATTCCTATTAGCATTAGGATTAGGATTAGGATTCATATTAGGATTAGGATTAGGATTCATATTAGGATTAGGATTCCGATTAGGTTTCCAATTAGGATTAGGATTTCGATTAGGATTATGATTCGGATTACGATTCCTATTAGGATAAGGATTAAGATTCTTATTAGCATTAGGATTAGGATTCCTATTAGGATTAGGATTCCTATTGAGATTAGGATTAGGATTAGGATTGCTATTAGAATTAGGATTAGGATTAGGATTCCTATTAGGATTAGGATTACGATTAGGATTCCTATTAGTATTAGGATTAGGATTAGCATTCATATTAGGATTAGGATTCCTATTAGGAATAGGATTAGGATTTGGATTAGGATTCCTATTAGGATTAGGATTCCTATTAGGATTAGGATTAGGATTAGGATTCCTATTAGGATTAGAATAAGGATTCCTATTAGGAATAGGATTAGGATTAGGATTCCTATTAGGATTAGGATTAGGATTCCCATTAGGATTAGGATTCCTATTAGGATTAGGATTAGGATTCCTATTAGGATTAGGATTCCTATTAGAATTAGGATCGGATTAGGATTCCTATTAGGATTAGGATTAGGATTCCTATTAGGATTTGGATTAGAGTTACGATTCCTATTAGGATTAGGATTACGATTAAGATTCCTATTAGGATTAGGATTCCTATTATGATTAGGATTATGATTCCTATTAGGATTAGGATTAGGATTCCTATTAGGATTAGGATTAGGATTCCTGTTAGGATTAGGATTAGGGTTACGATTCCTATTAGGATGAGGATAAGGATTAAGGTTCCTAATAGGAATCCTAATCCTAATAGGAATCCTAATCCAAATCCTAATAATAATCCTAATCCTAATCCTAATCCTAATCCTAATAGGAATCGTAATCCTAATCCTAATAGGAATCCTAATAGGAATCCTAATCCTAATCCTAATGCTAATAGGAATCCTAATCCTAATCTTAATAGGAATCGTAATCCTAATCCTAATCCTAATTGGAATTCTAATCCTAATCCTAATAGGAATCCTAATCCTAATAGAAATTCTAATCCTAATGCTAATAGGAATCCTAATCCCAATAGGAATCCTAATCCTATTCTTTTTTTGTTTGCCCGGTTAATACCACACTAGGTGGGGGTGCTGGGGAACACCTCCCTAATTTATTTAAATAAAGTTTTGAGTACAAGGAATTGATATTACAATTGATGGAACAAAAGAGAAAAGATAGGAAATAGAAAGGTACATCAACAATTGAAATTTTTTGAGGGGATTCCAATTGAAGCTGAAAGGGATCTATTGTATTTGTTATGAAACCTGATGGCTCTCTTGAGATAAGGCCTATAAGTCGTTTCCTCTGGGTGAGTCAATTTGAAGCGTTGAAGAGCTGCTTGTAATTTGTGTGGTGAGTCGAACCTCTCGTCAACTGGGTAGAGATAGTAGTCTGTTTCATTTTGGGGTCTCCTTGAGTGGCTCCTGGTGATCATAGGGTGAGATGAATATCCCACCTCATAGAATAGTTGTACATCTTCTGCTTCTTCATTAAGTGAGATTTTTGAGTTTGAGTATTTGCTTCTTCGTGTTTGAACCTGAGTAAATCCTTTGAGGTTTTCTTCGTCGATCTCTATTGACCTGAAATAGAAAAAGTTAGTGTTTGGGTGTCCTCAGAAATGATTTCATCACTGGACATGAATGGGTCAGGTGTAGTATCCGGACAGTCAAGCATTGGATCAGAGAGGTTCTCTTCATTTCCTTTTCGGGCATCAATCAAAACTTTGCCAGCACCATAGGTAGCCGGTTGATGAAATACCTCGGTTACCGCCACATTTAGGGTGGCCGCCAGGGTTTCATCATGAGCCATTGGGTGTTGGACAAAAACCTCAGCACGAATTGTGTCATCACAGGGGGCATCAGTGTGTTCAGATGGCGAATCTGCTTCCAAAACAGAAAAATAAGAGGCAACTGTAACAGGGAAATTAGTAGGAACATGGTTAGGGGCCACATTACTCAGGACAGTAGCTAGATTTTCAGCTTGTAAATTAGCAACATCATTGGTAGTCGCCTCAACAGGCGCTGGTTGTGCAGCAGAGCCTGCAGTGTCATGAAAAGCAGAAACGTCTGCAGAGGCTGCAGCACCAGACACATTTACAGGGGCACATGGAGCACCAACTTCTGTAATTTTGGGTGCAAAGGCAGCCTTAACAGGGGTTTCACTAACAGCATTCAGAACTGGATGTGCAGCAGGGGTACTAACAGCACTCAGAACTGGATGGACAGATCCAGTAGCACAAGGAACACCAAAAGCATCACCAGGCTCAAATGCAGGCTGAATTGAGCTTGTCTGGGCCTCATTAATAGCAAGATCAGTGAGAGGAGAGGCCGCAGCAGCAGACTCAGTTACAGGAAGAGAAGAGGCAACAGCAGCAGACTCAATAACGGGGGCACTTAAAACGTTCTTACCAGGGGCAACAGGGGCGTCAATAGCATCACGAATACATGTTGAATTAGGATCCAATAAAGCATCCCCAACTTCTATGATTACAACCACAACATTGTTCGAATCAGTCACAAGGGAAGGGACTTTGGCCTGTTTTTTAACCATAATAGGGGCACTACAAGTAGCATCCAAAACCTGTTCTGAGTTCAGCACCGGTTTAGCAGTTCATGTGGGGCAGACGGAGCTATTGTGGCCAAATCGAGAGCATATGTGACAAAAGAGAGGTAAATTTTCGTACACAAGAGTCTGGAAAAACCCATTTGAACCATTTTCAATCCATATTTTTGATGGCAGTTCAACAGAAATATCCATTTCAATGCATAATCTAGCTATGGAAGGTCGGGAGAAGTTAGCAGTGGGGGTATCAATTCTGATGGGATTCCCCAGAAGCTTTGCAATAGTTTTAAGAGCCCGTAAATCATGTAGGTGGATGGGAAGTCCCTCGAGGGAGATCCAGACGGGAGCAACTGGACAGTCACGCTCAACGGAAAACGCAGGCGTCCATCTCGTCACAACCATCTGGAACCCAAAAAAATCCCAAGAACTCTTTTCCCATAGTCTATGAAAATCGAGATCCGATTTGAAATTAACAAGGATAATGTTCGAATGAAGTTGCCCGACCGAATAGGGTTGAGAAAACCCTAAGGCCTCAAATGCTTTTCGAATTGCAGAAAGGGGGGGACGACCGAAGGGGAACGTACCAACTAGAGGATACCGGAAGGGGTGGGAGAGGATCTCTAAGTCGTCGACAGAGAAAGCCACCGAAGAGAATCCATTAAGCGTTCCGGAAGAGCCCACGTCGACCGCATCAGAGAAAGAAACGGCCTGGGTGTGCAGTCGTGGTCCATGGATTGGATCCCGTACTGCCGTCGCGTAAGAGATTCTCACCTCAGAGGCCGGTCCATTTTCATCCGCATCCTATTCTTAATAGGAATTGTAATCCTAATCCTAATCCTAATAGGAATCCTAATCCTAATCCTAATAGGAATCCTAATCCTAATCCTAATAAGAATCCTAATCCTAATCCTAATAGGAACCTTAATCCTAATCCTAATCCTAATAGGAATCGTAACCCTAATCCTAATCCTAATAGGAATCCTAATCCTAATCCTAATAGGAATCTTAATCCTAATCCTAATCCTAATAGGAATCCTAATCCTAATCCTAATCTTAATCCTAATAGGAATTCTAATCCTCATAGGAATCCTGACCCTAATCCTAATCCTAATCCTAATAGGAATTCTAATCCTAATCCTAATTCTAATAGGAATCCTAATCTTAATCCTAATCCTAATCCTAATAGGAATCCTAATCCTAATTTTAATCCTAATAGGAATCCTAATCTTAATCCTAATCCTAGTCCTAATAGGAATCCTAATCCTAATAGGAATCCTAACCCTAATCCTAATCATAATAGGAATCCTAATCATAATAGGAATCCTAATCCTAATCCTATTCCTAATAGGAATCCTAATCCTAATCCTAATAGGAATCCTAATCTTAATCCTAATCCTAATCCTAATCCTAATAGGAATCCTAATCTTAATTTTAATCCTAATAGGAATCCTAATCCTAATCCTAATCCAATAGGAATTCTAATCTTAATGCTAATAGGAATCCTAATCCTAATAGGAATCCTAATCCTAATCCTAATAGGAATCTTAATCCTAATAGGAATCCTAATCCTAATCCTAATAGGAATCCTAACCCTAATCCTAATCCTAATAGGAATTTGTTAGGAATATTTTATGGTGTCCGATCTAGATTAAATATCTTTGTATTTGTGTGTAATTGTGTAGTTATTATTTAGATGTGTAATATGGGCCACAAATGTGTATTATCCCATTAACGTCTTTGTAACCCGTAAGTTAGCCATTCTCTCATATAAAAGGAGGCTAACTTACATAAACCCTAAGTATTTAAAAAGGCTTCCAGAGTTGAGAGGCGAGAGATAGAGAGATAGGGTTTCCATTGCTCTCCTTCTCGAGGGAGAGAAACGGCACTTTACACGGTATACCAAAGGCGTTGATTATCTCGATATCCGTTTCTCTGCTTGTTCTTAACTGATTAAGATTGTTGTGATTGTTAAATTTTGGACTATCAATTGGTATCAGAGACGAGGCGTGAAAAAGGTTGAATCTATCTGCGATTTTTAGTATCTGCTATTTTCGACTCTTTGTTTTTTCTAAAGTATTTCATCATCTCGATATTTGCCTTTGTGATCTTGTTTTTATTCGAAACTTTGTAAAAGCTATATCATTGAAATCGTCTTCTCGAAATGATTCAGCAGTATACTTTCTTTTTTTATTTCTGCAATTTTTTGTTTTTGAAGATCTCGTGTTTGAGATCTCGAGATCCCTTTTCTCTTTTTTTTTGGATGAAAGGTAATTGTATTAACACCCAAAAATAACATTTTACAATGTGTCAAGACCAACTCAAATCTATCTAAGCTAGAAATATTCTAACTTAAATAAAACCTATCGCGAACGGATGGGACAAGCCCCACCTCAAAGACAAATCATAAGCAAAACGTCAAATCAACACAGAAAGTCTAACATTATTAATTAATTAAGGAATTAATTAATTAATAACTCTAATTGTCTTCCACCTAGTAAGTGTTTCCGCCCAACTCACTTGGCAGTATTCGTAGCCAGCTAAGTGGGTCCTCTTCCCCAGAAACTGGCACATCATTCTCCACCTCAGGCGCATTTATCACTTCACAATTGGTGACACCATCATATTGATGCAACTCGTTCTCGTTTGTCGCGACCCTCTCGGTGTCTACCAACATGGCCCCGGACTGTTTCACAACCGCGAAAGCCCCCTGGATGTCGTTGGCCATAGCTGCAGACCCCTGAGTAACTAACCCCTCGTGCTGGACAGTGGGACCGGCCGGGTCAGGGTCATACCCGGTTGAGTACTGTCCCTGGGCAGATTCTGGCAGGGTGGAGCTGGTCTCGGTTTCCAGCTGCTGTTTGCATCCCTGGGCAGGAGGTAGATTCTTCACCAAGGCAGTAGCCTCTTTGATGACCTTCTGGGCAGAATCAGCCCCTATAACAGTAGCTTCCTTTAGCCTTGTTTGAGCAGAGTTGTCAATATCAACAGCATCTAAATTTTCCTTTTCATCAGTCTTCACCAAATTCTTTTCTGCTAGCTTATCATTTGTTTTCTTCTCTCCCTTGTCATGTAAGTTTTTTTCCATTTCTTCCTTCTCATGTAACTCTTTGCAAATAAAAGGGTTGTGCTCATATTTTTTGCAATGAAAACAAAATATTGGAAAGGTTTCATAAACAACCGATTGATTGATTACCTTACGGGAAGGTAGTCGGATAGGAAATGAAAGCATAGGTGGTTTTGATGCATCAACTTCAATAAGCACTCTAGCAAAGTTATGGTTGCTCCTTTCTTGGGTGACCAAGTCCGTTGTTAGTGGCATCCCAACCATAGAGGCTACTTCACTCATGGCCTCTTTGTTCCAAAGTTTCATCGGAAGTCGTGGGAATTTAACCCAAATCGGCACTTTAAGGAACTCTTCATCATCAAATGTGAAGTCTTCCGACAGAACTTTCAGCATTAGTAATTTGCCAAAGATGGGATAAGGTCCCTCATTTAGCACTTTCATTCTGTCTTCTTCAGTTTGAAATTTAAAAATCACTCAACCCTTGTCATGTCTCTTAATGTGGCAGTTTACTCCCCACTTAGATTTCAGTTCATATATAGCTTTTAAGCCAGGGAACCGACCTGTGAAATAGCCAACAAGACAATATCCCCACATCTCAACCATGGACGGCAAGAGTCTATCAGAAAAGTCCAAGGAATTACCTTTAGGAGGAACATAGCTCAGTTTGATTCCATGAGATGGGGCTCTATTATCCTTAAATAAAGTAGACCAAGGTTTCTTAGCCATTGCACCCTGTAAAGGGACTGTCAAAGTAGTGGTATGCCCAACACCAGTGTTACTGGCAGTGCACCCAGCCTTGTTGGTGATTACTGTTGTAGCATTGCTTGGCACCAAAGGAGAAAAACCTCCCGCATCAGGAGCATCCGCCTGGATTGGGGCATTCTGCCCAGATTTGGCAGCAGTTGGGATATCAATTACAGTTGTCCCAGCAGTTCTTTTTGCATCAGTTGCACCAGGAGTCTGCTTGGCCGCTCCAGAATTTAAAAGCTTTTCCCCTGCATCAGAATTTTTCACAGTATCATTAGTAGACAGATTCCCAGCATCCTTAGCAGGAAATCCAATACCTTCCTTAGCAGCAATTTTATTTCCATCCTTTTTAGCAAATGCGTTTTGCACAGCTGGGAATCTAGCCTGCTTAGAAACAGTAGCTTTGTTAGGAATTTCAATCTGCCCAGGTTGCTTTCCAATCCCAGCATTAACAGTCTGCATAGCGGTAAGGACCCCTGCGGCAGCTGTACCTTCTACTTCAGAAAAATCAGCCATCATTTGATGGCCAACAATAGACTTCTTAGTAGCAGGCTGCAGTTTTTTTGAGTCATTTCCAGAAATGAGAGCTGGGAATTCATCTTCACTTTCTACCAATAACTCAAACCTGGAAGAAGATCTGGTAACTCGCGCGTTAGAGGAATCACCGGTCTGCTGTTTGTTTTTCGCCATAGTAGCAGGTCTGCAAAAGTTTAAGTCGTCTCCTCATCCAAAACGGCAAACAACAGAGTCCCCTGCGAGAAACGGCTCGTAACTCAGCTCCTCTAAAAATGAACACCAGCAGCTCAGCACAGGTCACGTACTACGCTTCCCGTCACCTCTGAATCGATTCCCCTGTGAAAATCGACTCCCCTGTGAACAGTGAAAGACGCCCTAGCCCAGTTCAAATTTTCAATGTGTAGCCAAAATTAATCACTCGAATGACGAATCCATGCTCGGAAATGGAATCAGGAGCAATTTTCGACCAAGAATCACAAGAAAAACTAAAATCAAACACAACCCAGCAATGGATTGACCAACCTCATTTCCCTTTTCTCGAGATTACAGAATGCTTTTCGCATCGAATTTGATACTGGTGGAATCTGGAGATCAAGGGCTTTTCAGAACTGGTTCCAAAATTTCAAAACTCGAATTTTTCATTTTGAAAGATTTCGAAATTTTGTAAGATTTAGATGTTCTTGAAGATCTTGAGATTTTGGCTTTTCAGTGACAGGAAAGACTTCGAATTTTTGAAGATTTCAAGATTTATGGAGTTTTGGATGTTTAGAATCTTTCAAAGTTTGGAGTTTCTCAAATCTCCGATATTTTCGAAGTTTGACATTCTTCGCAGTTCATCGAAGCTTTAAATTATACTCCCTCCGTCCCTTAAAACTTTGCAAAGTTTGACCGACACGGAGATTATAAGTAAAAACTTTGTGGTTGAGGTTTGTTCAGAGGAGAGAGAATTATCTGGAACCACAATTTTTTTACTTAAAAGGGAAAGTGGCAAAATTAATGGGACATCCAAAAAAGGAAAGTTTGCAAAGTTTTAAGGGACAGAGGGAGTATGATTTATTAATCCCTGCTTATCGAAGTTTTAAAAGATTTCGATGTTCTGATATTTTTCAAAGATAGAGTTTTCGATATTCTGAGGTTTTAGTTTTTCCAAATGTTTTCGAGGTTCAAAAAAATCTGAAACTCTAAAGATTTCGAAGTCTCGAGGTGTTGTTTTTGCAGGTGGATTTCGACGTTCTACTAAGGGTTAAACTCGAGATTTTAATCTCGAAGTTTAAACCTCGAGATTGTGATCTCGAGATTTAAACCTCGAGATTGTGATCTCGAGATTTAAACCTCTAGATTGTGATCTCGAGATTTAATCCTCGAGAATGTGATCTCGAGGTTTAAACCTCGAGATTTTGATTTTGAGGTGTAAACCTCGAGATTTTGATCTCGAGGTTTAAACCTCGAGATTTTGATCTTGACGTTTAAAC